GAATCCTAAGTTCAAGCATAGCCTGGGCAATTTAGGAAGACCCTGTCTCAAAATAAAAATTAGAAAAAGAAGTTAGGGGTGTGGCCCAGTGTGAGGGCCTGGGTTCAGTCCCCAGTACCCCCACCCCAAAAAAGAGAAAGTTGAAGTACTTGATAATTTAGCAAAGAATTGGTGGGAGAAATAAGTGTATTACTTAAAGATAATTCTGCTGCGTGAAACTAATCAGTTTCCCAAATACTTCAGAAATAATCACTGCCACTGAAGTTTAAGAAGTCTTTGTGAAAAGCGAATAGCCATATAGAAATTTCTTGCTTAATGTCCAGATTGAATCCTTACGCAAATGGGTTCAACATTCATTGTAGTAATTAAACTGTTCGTTGCTTATTAAGAGCTTATTCTGTGGCCTAGAACTATGACTGTTTTGCCTATGCTTATAAATGGGAAAATTTTAACGTAGCACCCTAAAGCTTTTCACAGATTGAGATTGTCTTTTCCTTTTAGTACTAGATTTTAAAAAAAAGTTTAGAAGAAACTGTTGGTGTATCTTACCCACTTAGCTAAGTACTCTTCGGTAGTGTTACATGTTTTGAGCAATTCATAATGAAAGTAAAGAATTTAGATCTCAAAGGAAATTAAACTGAATTTGAAATCTGCATCTTTTCATCATAGAGAAAATGAAAGGAGGAGATGGCTTAAGAAGTTTGTCCTGGCACATACAACTAGTCTGGTTCAGTGAAGAGTGGAAATCAGGCCTCTGGATTTCTCGTATTTATTTCCCACAATGCCATTCTATTCTCCAAATTATTACCACTGTGGTAAATTTGCTGATTTTAGTTCCAGTACACCCTTAGCCTTTTTATACTTAGATTCCTGACAGGGCAAGGTTCAGACAGTCTTCTCCGAGGGGAAAGAGGTGATAAGCCCTTGGTAGTTAGCACCCCTGAACTTGCATCAGGGAGTGGGTAATGCCTTTGTGGCTTTGGCTATCTTCAGTGTCTGCAGTGCTGTGGAAAGCTGAATTAGGCCACAACACTCATAATGGTGATGGAATTAGTTTGAGGGGAAAATTGTTCAGTTATTTACATTGAAAATAAGCTCGTGATTGCCTGGGATAAAAAGATGTAATATATACTTCATGTTTTTATTACTTTAATTTTTAAAATAGAAATAATGGTAATGCTGTAGGGTTTTTTTTAAGAGTTAGTTTTTTATTCTCTCCCAAATTACAATTTTCTGTTGTGTGGGACATTTCCCACCATTTCTTGTCATGTTCTGGAAAAGTGTAAAAGAAACATTAGAACATATCTGAGGTATTATTTGTTACAACTACTAGCAGTTTTATCAAGTAAACCTTGTAAATGTATTGGTGAAAGTGGAAAACTATAAAAGCTAATAGTTTTTTAAAATTTTGATTTATCATACTTTGTGTGTATCTCTCTGCCTAGCATTAGTTTCCACCTCAAATAAAACAGGTACCAAAAAAAAAAATTGTAATCTTTCAAAATTATAATTTAAAAAATTGTATCAAGTACTAGATTTTAAAAATTAAAAAGGAAAGAGAAAATGGCTTATAATTTCACAAAAAATTCTCAGACTTCCTTTTTAAAAAGAAAAAGAATGTGATGCGTGAAAGTGACTAGAAAACTCGAACAGTACAGATAATATAAAATGGAGAGCCTCCTTTCCCTAACCCGTCCCCTGAGGTGGCTGTTAACAGATTCCTACGTATCTTTTTTGAAGAAAAGAATTTGATGCATGTTCTAGCTCAGTTTTCTGCGTTTTCGTCAAGTGTTTTTTTTACACGTTTTTCTCCTGTAACACAAACATTTCCCATATTAATGGATTCGTACTGTTCCATTGTTTGGAAGAGCTGTGTCATTTCTAGCTGGTTACATGGTGGACTTTCAGTCGTCGCTCCCCCTCGCTGTGAACAACAGTGTGGTAGGAGCAGTGCGCAGCTAGATTAGTGTACTTGCTAGGTCTGTCTGGCGTTCGGTTCATGCTGGCAGAATGCTCTCTCCAGAATGGCTGAAACAGCAATGCATTTCTCCCAGTAATGAGTAAGTGCATTTTAAATACATCTTATCCCCCAGTTCACAATTTTTGCAGTCTACTGTCATGGTTTGAGCATTTTCTGAAAGTAGCTTTTGTATAAATGTTCGTTTACTTTGGGTTTTGTTTTTCTAGTTGGCTATAGTAATTAATAGTAGATATTGTCAGTTTTCCTGGAGGGTATTGTTAGGTGGAGATACCAGCTCCTAAAGAGATGCAGTTAACAGTCTGGCATGACGTACGTCAGCTCGTGTACATACATTAAATATGCTTTCAACTGATAAAACCATTTTAGAAGGAAAGAGAAAGTAATGAAGAAAGAGGTGAAGGGAGGGGGCAGGAAATGTGTGTTTCTTCTCTGGAAGGCAGAGAAGGGATCCTGAGAAGTCAGGTCATAACCTTCAGGTCTCTTTCATCACCCCCATGGAAGCTTCCATCTGTCCCTTTCATGTCCTCGGGTGTGCTCCTCCGTGCAGTGAGGTGGGTGGAGTAGGCATCCGTATTGCGCAGTGACGGCTATGGCCGTGTAAATAGCCCTGGAGAATGGTGGCAGCATTATGTAAATGTAAGCACTTTGTTTCTCTTTCACTTCTGAGTAAATGTTGCCCTTCTTTCATACTGAAACTTCTTACTTTATGATACAAAACTTACGTGTTATCTTGAAAGGTGATCATTTTGTCAGTTGAACAAAGTAATGTTCACAGGTTCACAGTATAAACTGTTCAAATGGCAGTTTTCAGAAACTCATGTTTGATTTAATTGGATATAATTAACTTGCAAGGAACTGATCTCCTCCCTGCTAAATTGATGCAATAGAGTTTTATTTTGGACATAGCATACTAAAATGTATCTAGGTACAAGTGTATCCATAGGCAAACCATCCCTATTTCCTCCTCCGACTGCAGTAACCTCTGCTCCTTGGGACATCCCAGCAAATCTGACATATGATTGTTAATGTGATCTTCAAACATTAAGTGTTCTGCTCTATGCAGGTTGTATTTAGAAAGGCTTCCAGATCTCTCAACATTTGGTGTCTTAATGAATGGAAAGTATTTGGAACCTTCCAGAGCTTTAGAGTGGTAGCTAATGTCAGTGAAACATTGATCAGTATGGTATTTATTGTCATTTAGTGCTTGCGAGGTCTTGTATACACTGAAGTATAGGAGATGCCATTTATTGTTCAATATCTAATATCAATAAAAACCGTACCTTTTCATCTCCAACAGAGTTTTTAATCAGAATTATTAGAGTGTTCAAAAAGAACTAAATGCCCAAGAACTGTTAAGCTCCTACTTCATGAAAAATGCTGGTGATTCTTGTTTGCACCATGTAAATGTGCTCCAAAAGCTTGCTAACAAGCCCCTTGAGCAGATCGTGAACAACCTGGACCCGGGTGAAGATGGTCGTTAACTCTCTGTGCCCCTGCACTGAGGCGGGGCTTTGGGGAAATAAGGTAGAGCTTCGTGAACTGCAGATGGGTTCATAGTATAAAGTATTTTTGCTGTGTAATAACTTGTGTGCTAGTTAAATCTGTCTCGTGCCCAGGTGTTAAGTAAGCTAGAAATCCCTTTTTATGGTTACTCTACCTGTGTCACCGTACCACCAACTGCCCACTAGAGAGCCAGTTTAAACAGCACTCGTGTTCTGCCAGAGCAACTTAAATGATAGTGGTGTGATACTGGGAGTATGTAATGCTGGACAAGGGCAGTGCCATAGGAGAGAACCACTCTGTTACAGGCATTTTAAGGAAAAACAGTGAAACTTTTGAAAACATGTGCCTCAAAAGAGCTTCACCCAAGTCACCGTGCGGGGATCTGGAGTGCCATATTTGCTCCAATCGCATAATGTGTGCGGTTTTCAAAGTGAATTTAGGTACCTTACAGGAATTTGCATCAGACCCCTTGCTTTTGAAAACTTGGGCATTTTCCTTATTTCTGTTTTGTTCTCCTTGCCTGTCTGCTTCATTACTTACCGTAAGGAAGGAGTACTGCCTGATCGTTGTCCCTCTTCGGCTAGCACTTTGGGCCTTCCACCATCCCTGTCTTCTAATGGGCATGAGATAGTAGCTCTGAATGAATGAGTTAGCAATATGGTATTCACAGAGTTCAGTCATCTAAGCATCTTTTGAGTTAACTAACTTTATCTAGTAGAAGTTTATGTTTATAGTTAACTTGTTCATAGTTATAAATTAAGGTAACTTGTTTATAGTTATAAATTAAGATAAAATACAGCCACATACTGTCAAGTGGTAGCATTGCTTAAATAAAGTTGCTGCCAGTTTTATCTTTAACTTTTCCAGTTGCTGGTGGGTACCCTTATGAGGTAGAGAGGCACAGGAGAGGAGACATGCGGCTTGGGAATCTGTGCAGTCTTCCCTCAGCTGACCCATCCTCTCCATAGCTGGAGTGGCTTGCCAATCCATAACCATGTGAAAACATGTTTTTTGTTAGTAAAGTTGCCTGTTACAGTGTTTCGTACTTAGATGATACTTTAGTTTTTCCTTTGCTTTCTTACACATAATTTTTCTTTAAAATTGTATCTAAATTGTTTCTGTCTCCCTTTTCAGAACACCTTTTTAAAGCCATAGACCACATTGATAACAAACTTAGTGTGTAGTTTTTGGCTTGTATCAATAGGAGAAAATCTATTCAGGAAATTCCAGGATCTAAAAACATACTTGAATCCATATATACTATGAGGCCCATGTTTGCTGTCAAAAAAATGAGTGAATTCCATATCATTGTCTTTATAGATTCAAGAGGGTTTGGGGTTTTGTGTGTTTAAATATAGCGGGAGGGAAACATTGGTACGTGAAAGGTTAGTCTGAAGACAGTTTTGACTTGAGCCTACTGTGGTTTGTGATGGCACATTAGTCACAGTGGTTTCTCTGATGTTCGTGAAGGTACGGTGTGCAAACATGCTAATTTGTCTCCTTTTCTCCCCCCCAGCCATCTGTTGAATCTTCAAGTCCAGGTAAGTATTTTTCCTATATTTTTAATAACCTCTATTTAACTAATATTTGTCCTATTAGTTGCATAATGGCTAGAAGAGTTAGACTATCATCTGACTTGCTTTTCTTCTGAATGCTTCTTTTCTCTGGGGAGAAAGAAATGGATGAAATGTTTGACTGCCCATGAAAGTACAGGTGAGGCTGCTGTGAGTTCATCCTCATGCCTATTTTTGGTCTCTCTTTTTCTTGCTCTTGTTCTCTTTCTTTCTCTCTTTTCTCCCTCCTTCTCTTTCTCTCTCAAGTTGCCTTATGTATAGCTTATAATTTTGCATTATTTGAATTGAATTATATATGAGCATAGTATCTTTTTGAAAAGGGAGTTGTGATTAGCTTAAAAATGCTGGTATAGGAAATGAAAATTTTTTATTTGAGGAAATTGTTAATGCATTTACTGTGGGAGGGAACAGTTGAGTATGCAGAAGTTTCAACAGGTAAATGCTTAGTGTTGTAAATTTAAGTATGTTATTCTTAGATTTTGGTAGTGCCAAGTTTTACCCTCTGACCACACATCTAAAAGGTTTTAATATTCTCCTTAAGGTACAGTAGGTCATTCTGTCCCTGTCTTAGAAGTTGCAAATTGTGATCCTTCGGCCCATTTGGACCAGATTTTTTTGGCCACTGTAATAATCTTTAAAAATTAAAATAGTTCATATCAAATCTAGACCGATGGTTCATGCTCAGCCCCAGGGTGGCACCACAAGGTAAAAACATTCTCATGTGGCAGTAATTGGTTGTGTTCGATCACGGTGTGAGAAGAGTCAGGTCGTAGTCGTTCGGCCTCAGTGTCCAGAGACTGCCGAGGCTGTGGGCCTGCCCCCGCTGAGCGGGCGATCGCAGCCTGAGGAGGAAAGTGTCAAGGGGGGCACTCTTGAGACCTGAAACGTACACTGAGTGCTAGATAGGGTTATATTCCACATTGCTGCATTTCCATATTATTGAAGCAGGCCTCTTTCTGTATTTTAGATTATGGGAAGAACGCTTTTCATAATGCTCAACACAATATAAGCCCTTTTCAATGATGCAGGGCCCTTCGCATGAGCACAAAGTATTACACTCTGTGAGGACTAGATTACTTCCACAACTCTTAAATAACGAAAGTGCTCAGTTTACAGTTGATTTCTCTATTTCAACTGAAAATGTCTTTTTCTTACATGCTTGACAATAAAGTACATTAAGTTTGTGACATTTGTGAAACTCCAGGAGTTTTTTTAACTTTCTGATTTATAACTATGTTCTGGATGGTTAATACTGGATGTAATCTGACCTCAGCTAAGTGTTGTATCACTGTATCATTGTTTCTAGTACTTTTTTCTTTCAAACACATTGAAAAAGCAGGTTCTTGTGTTTCTAGTGATATTGCAAGTGGAGTGAGTTTTAGGCACTCTTACAAATTCAAAGAGCAGATGCCTAGATGCATAAAGTAACTTCTCAAATCTGATGCTGATAAATGGTTCCACAGTTTGTGTCCACCTGGGCAGCACTGTGGGAGGAGGAGTGGAGCTTGAAGAACACAGATTTTTTAGTAGCTGTTGGTACGGTTGATACTTAGGTGTTAAGGTTCATGTGGCTTATATTTCTGTTAGATTGTTTTCAGACTGAGGAAAGTCTTCTGCATTACACCATATTGGTGTCAGGCTTCTTCCCAAAGGAATGTTTAATATTCTTTTAAGTAACGGTGGTTTTAGGGATTTAAGGAAGTTGGTAGAGGAAACCAGGAATAGAGGCCTTGTGTAAAAAAAATTTTTGGTCCATCAGTAAAAAGTTACACCTTTTTTAGCATCCGGGGTTGGGATTCGCTATTAGTAATTTCACTCACATGACCACATTCAGTGGTTTATTTATAGATTTTGCCAGTGTAAACCAAAGAGGAGGTGAGCTTTTACCTGTAAGACTAGTAGTCATTAGAGGTGGGAATTACGGCAAGGGAAGAAAAAAGAAATTTTTTTAGTACCAGGAATCGAACTTAGGACCTTGCCCTTGCCAGGCAAATGCTGTGCTGCTGAGCTATATCCCTGGCCCAGAAAAAAAAATTTTTAAATGATTATATAAGTATACATGAATATATTGTAAACTGAATCTGTCTTTGGGTCTTTGAAAAGATGTAAACTGTCCGGGACATGGTGTGCACAAACCATAATCCCAGCACTTGTGCTAAGGCAGAAGGATTATGAGTTCAATGCCAGTCTGAGCTTCCTAGTGAGACCCTGAGTTTAAAAAACACCTTCAGTAATTCTGCAGTGAGATGAGGTCCTAGGGCAGATCCATGGCACTGGCCTTCACTCTGAAGCAGGGTACTTACTTATACAAAGCGCTGACCTTACAGTCACTAACAGTGTACTGCTAGGATTTCCCCTTAGAAACAGCCTAAGGATGGGTCCAGCAGTTGACAGAGAGGATGGGAATGGTTAGTTGGTCCTAGAGACCAAAGTGAGAAGTCAGGTAGAACAGATTGATTAAGTCAGAAACGTAAGTCAGAGTTGATAGAACAGTTGTTTGTAGGAAAGGAGTTGGAGTAAGATGTTTCCCCTACTCTTGTATTATTCGATGTGGGGAAGTGAAATGGCAAGTTTTTGTCGGCTTTGCAGATGCTGACAAAGAAATGGGGTGGCCAGATGTGGGGGCACACGCCTGTAATCCCAGCACTTGGGAGGCTGAGGCAGGAGGATTACTGTGAGTTTAGAGGCCAGCGTGGACTGCAAAGTGAGTTCAAGGACAGCCTGAACTGCATAGTAAAACCCTGTCTCAAAAAGAAAAGAAAAGAAATGGGGCATCATTTTTGACAGTAACTTGCTTCAGGAAGAGTTCTGCCTAAGGTATTAGTATACCCAAAAATGGCCTGGGTTTTTAAAGGGCCTTTCTGCCTATAAGGGAGAGAAAAAGCATAGTATCACCTGTAGTTACTCCTAAGTGTCTCAGAAGATTGCCAGGAGGACCAAGAAGCTTGGGGAGATTTTCCATTGAAAACTCAGAAGAAAACAGTCGGGACATAGAACTGTAGCTAAGTCAGAGATTTTCCTGTGGGACCCTTGTGTCTGATCCAGTGCTAGAACGTCCTCCTAAAATTATACAGCCTTTTCTTAATGTCCAGGAGAAATAATAATGTCTTTGTAAATCATTTTTAAACTTTGGTAATTGTCAGCAAGTAATTTTTACTGTAACCTGGTAAGGTGAGATCTGGTTTGGCAGATAATTGTGTACTTGGTTATATTTAATAGCAGTTCCTTATGCTTTCAATGAGCACAGCGTCTTCTCTACCCCTTGCATCTGACCCGGCCTATAGCGACTCATCTTAGTGAACACAGGCTCTCGTTACAGATTCTTTGGGCCAGGATTCTTCAGGACTTACAGGAGGAGTTGGAATTAGGCAAAGGAGTCACATTTCATCTTTGCCGCTACAGGCTCTGAGTTTAGAGATGCTATTTAAACTCTCAGCCTTGAGTCTTTGGGTTTTTTTACCCCTTTTTAGTGGGTTAAAAATACCGACTTGATAGGATTGTTTGCAGATTGAGATAATGTACATGAAATGCTTAAGCATACTGTCACACATGGCCGGCTAAACATGGTGCTCATGCCAGGTATGGCGCTCATGCCTGTAACACAGCACTCAGCAGGCTTAGACAGGAGGATCTGCGACAGTCCAAGGCCCGTGTGGAGTGCATAGTGAGATCCCATCTCAAAAAACAGAGTGGTGCGTCTGTACAAAGTGGTGGGGGTGGCTGAAGACCCTTGAGCCCTCGTTACACCTTCTCTCCAGTAGAAGTCAGCCTCTGTGTCTTTGTTTCCCTCAGTGGTTCTTACACCAGCTTGAAAGACGGAACTCGATAGAACCTCCAACATTTACATTGATAAAGTGATGGCTGAGTTTTTATGTTGACCCATTTTTATAGAGAGAGATTTTTTGAATTTTCACTTGAACTTCGTTATGTCACCTAGAAGAGAACCCATTTCACTGTGTTCCACTGTTAACGCGCATTCCAAAGGGACCTCTGGGCCTGGGAGGGCTAGGCCGTGTGTGTGTTAGTTAGCAGCGCGTCTGCAGTCCGAGTTGCGGGGCGGCGGTGATCAGATGGGAGACTGCGTGTGTGCCTGGCTATGCACCCGTCACAAGGGTGGCCCTCCCAAATGGAGTAGTGCACCTCAGCCAGCCTGCTAAAAATGGAGTCAGCTGCCCTAGATGATGTTGCCTGTCTCTGGTAAGAGTCTTGTATGCAATTTTGATAAATTTTGCTTTTATCTCTGTGTTATTTCAACTCTGAAATCAACTAAGTGAGTTAGTTACTGAGATACTGAAATTCGTCTCCAGGGAAGCGCTTATGGAAGAATGTGAGGTTCATCCGTGTTTTCTCTGGACTGTGTGTAGTCATTTTGCTTGGTGCATTCTCGGGTTATTGCACCACTGAGTGAGTAGCATAGAGCGTGCTTTACACAAACCTGGGGGTGTTGCCTGCCACACACGTGGCCAGTAGGGTCGAGCACCGTCAGTCGTTGCCTGACAGGCGCACAGCTGTGTTCAGGTGGCATCTTCACCTGACTAGGTGTTCTAAGTGGCCAGAGGGTCTATCAAATATTAATCAAATGGTTAAGAATTGTGACTTTTTTCCCTCCACAAACAAAAAGGCCATTCTTACCTGATAGGACCATTCTTTACAAGTTATTCTTCATGTTTAGAAGATTACAACACAGTTTCTAACGTTACAGACAGCACACTTCTCCCCTGTTTTGCAGTGTGACTGAGTATGCAGGAGCAAGGCAGGGGAGCGTGAGGAGCGTGTGGGGTGGTGATGAGTAAGGGGAAGGATTTTACACAGCAGGAGTCTTCAGTGTGCGTAGCTTTTTCCTTGTGCTTCTTTGACTTTTATCCAGCTTCAAATAAGTAATGCATATACACTAAATCAATATTAATAAGACACTTAATTTGGTTCACCGTACTTTTTAAAATATTCTTTACCAGGAGGTTCAGCAACATCAGATGACCATGAATTTGATCCATCAGCTGACATGCTGGTTCATGATTTTGATGATGAACGAACATTAGAAGAGGAAGAAATGATGGAAGGAGAAACAAACTTCAGTTCTGAAATAGAGGATCTTGCAAGGGTAAATAATATTAAGAGCTAGGGGATAAAGTGGTTATAACTTGCTGTGGAGAGAGGGAATTTTGGTTCTCTCTGTATTTTGGGGGGAAGCTGTATAGTTCATACTGAAAAAAGTCCATGTGATCACAAATAGGATAAAGTTTGAAATGAAGGGATTTAGACGTAGCTTTATTATGTGGATAATGGAATCAGAAGTGACTCCCGTAAGACATTACAGGCGTGGGCCAAAAAGGGTTCTAAATTTCCTCTTGTACACCCACAGTTCCGCCATCAGTGCACCTTTTATTACTCTCCTTCAGAGCCCTCGTGTCTTAACACTCGTGCTCACTTTCCCTTCTCTGCATGTGCGTCATGGAGTGTGTCTGTCCCTTGCTGTCAGAGTGGCCTCTGGCTTCCCTGGCACAGCCGCTGCTGTGTGCCCCCTTTCTCTGCACCTTACTCTTTTCGCAGCTTCCTCGGTGCAAGTTGCCGACCATTCCCTCCTTCTGCTTGGATTCTGGACTGGCTGTGTAATCTCCCTGTTTCCCTTTTTCCTGTTGTGTTTTCTGCAGGCCCTTCTTCCTCGCCTACGGTTTAAATGTTGGCATTTCCTGACCCTTGCTTCTTGGGCTTCGCTTCTTCTCTTCCATCCCTCTAGATCTTTGCTCCTGAGAGTGCAGGTTGAGGGGCAGCTGTAGCAGGAGCGTCTGTAGTGTCCTTGGACTCCCTCAAAAGAGCTGTTCCTGCAGCTCTGCCTCGGCACACTGTCAGCCCTCTGGGCGGGTCCAGATCTCCGTCTCTGCTGGGCGAGTCTGAATTGCGTACCCATCAGATTGGAATATTACTATGCTGTGTGACCTGTTTTCATGCTCTCTGTAGTTTGCTTAGTTTATATTTCTAGCATTAGGTTATTACCTGTCTCCAGTATCCACGGTGACATTTTTGCTCAGATATTTCAACATGCATCAGAATTTAAAACACTCAGCGTTCTCCTTCTACCTATACTTTGCCGTTATTCTCTGTCTGTGTAAAAACTGGCGCTTACGTTTATCCTGTTCCAAGGTCAGAAACCAGGGAGTCATTGTCTTCATGCCCAGTACCCATCCTCGAAGTAAGTCTTTCTTTTCTCTCCGCAATGTACCTTAGGACTCTCTTGCTCCATTTCTGCCCAGGTTGCTGTCCAGTCCCTCCTAGACCGTTACGGCAGCACCTCACCTGGTGTCCCCGTTCCTCTTGCCCTCTTGCTCCCAGTGTGCTCCCACCAGCAGTGATGCTGATCCTCATCATCACAGTAATGATTCCATTTATTTCAACCTGGCTTGTTTACTCCTGAAGATGGCCCAGACCCCTTGTCTGGCTTGCAGGCCTCTGCATGATGTGGCCTCCTGTGTGTCTACCACGCTGCCCTTGCGTGCGCTGGGGTGGCCTCGTGAGCTGCATTTCCTGCTGGATTGGCCCCTTCCTTCCTGCTTCAAGGCTTTCAGCATATTCACCCTTTCTGTATGGGTTTCCCAGGGCTGGCTCTTTATCGTCTGGGTTTGGTATTAACCCTCAGTGTGCATTCCTACCCACTAATTGGCTTTAAAAAAAAAAACAAACAAAAAAAAACTGTTGTATTCTGTCCTTCCCCCACACACACACCAACTAATACAATGATTATATGTTTGTTTGTTTTCTGTGGCCTCTGTTAATTTTTGGAGGGTAGGGACTAAGACTGTTTTATTCACCAGTATATTTCATGGTAAATAACAGTATTGAATGAGTGAGTGCATAAATCAGCCTAGTGTGCACTGATAAAATTTATTGCACGTGTAATTGCTATACTCCATGATACAAAGAACGTATGCTATAGGATGCAGTGCCAGCTTTTAAGGATTTAGAAAATACACTGTGAAAAATTATTAATGTGTGTTTCAGAATTTTAATTTGGAACTCTTTAAAGTATAAAAGAGCTTGGAAAGGAGTCCTGATAGCAGTTAGTCAGATCTTGTCAAGGGGTCTCATTTTGGATTCTGTAGTGATCAGAGCCGGTTTAATTCATAGTGCCTAAACAACTTCATATTTTACTGTTTTGAGCCAGAGAACACGGTTGATCTAAGTGGCAGTGATGTGCATTGGTTATCACAGTGCCTTCTGAGAGTGGGTTAAAAAAGCACACTGTGAACTTAGGATCATAATCATTCTTTAAAAGTAAGGGACTGGAAAGCTATTCAGAAGACAAGGGTAGTTTGCCTAGATGATTCAGATCTTAGACAGCAAGGGGAACGATTAGTTTAACGTGATAGTCACTTCCTCTATTTTTGAGGTGGAAAGGCAGTTGTTTTCAATTATTTGCCTGTATTCACAGAAATTTCTTTCAGTGTAGACATATTTTATTGCTTCTGAGTAGAAGACTAGAACAAAAGGTAAAGGGGGAGAATGGTGTATTTTCATCTTATCACGTCCTGTATTAGCACAAATTAAGTACAATGTGTGACAATGCATGAGGTGGTGTGATCATTTTCTCTACTTTAGGAAAGAAGGTATTACATTTAATTAGGATAAAATTGCTCATGGGTTTTAGCAAAACTTCAAGCATGCTTTTGTCCTTTCTTCTTTTGTCTGTCCCTTTCCCCAGCTCTTTTTAGCCCTCTAAAGTTTGCTTTCACCTGACGCTCTTTGAGAAACAGTAATTAAAATAGAATTACTTATGGAGGCTACAGAAAGGAAGAGAAAGACAGTGGCACCTACCCTTTGTCATCACTGTAGCCAGATAGTGGTACACCTTCCCAGGTTCTCCCGACTTCTTCCAGAAGCACTTACAGTTAGGGTTTTTAGAAGCATTACTAAGCTGGTAGAGGTGTAGTTATGTTGGATTTCCTGGAGTTACAATCTCTTCAGGTATGAATCAAATGAAATTAGTTTTTATTTTTAAAAACAAGATTTTGTCACAGTGACTATTCATTTGATTTTACAGAAGAGAAACATTAGTTATATTAAGAAGTGGCAAAGTATTTTTCAGCTGGCACTTCAGTTGCATGAAATAGTTTTTTTTTTATGTAATTTAGGGATAAAACTCTGGACAGTTTGCTCATGAGTAGATTAACTTAGTAGTATGGTTTTAGATTCTGAAGTTTTTTTTGGGAAAACCTGATAGAAGCAGCTTTTTGTGTACTATTACAGTTATATGCATTTATTTTATTGATATAAAATGCATTTTAATTATAAGTTTATTTAAATGTTTTAATGGAATTGGGGTTTAGAATTTTCTGTGGTGATTGAAGAAAAGGGTGTCAGAATCATTCCTATAGTAAATAGACTTTTTTGTTTTCTGTCAGTTAATAATACTTTAACTTTTTTAAAATTTCAAATGCACTCTTAACAGATGAAAGATCAGGATTATTTTTATCTTTATATATTTAGACACATTTCAGAAAAAACACACAGTAATGTCGATATGTAATGTGAACTTTTAAGCATTAGGCATGCCCAGTGGCTAGAGAATAAAGATTAAAATGTGAGAGGTTTTCCTGACATATATGCATAACCTCAGTTTCACAGATTTAAAAGAAACCCCAGCATGGCGAGTGAAAAATTCACCACTTCACCCCTTCAGATTTTATCTTCTAGACAAGCCCCAACCCCAGGAGGTTGGTTACCTTAGAAGCTGTCTCTTTAGTATAACTTGGATGTGGTTCCTTAGGCCTTCCTATCTGGAAGTGAGTTTCCTTCTTTCTGTCTCTTCTCTTCACAAGTACTTCTTGGGACATGGTTTGGGGATAGGTGGTAGGCAGAGGAGTTGCGTCTGTCCACCCCATGGCCCTGCCTTGAAGGCCCATGTCTGCTGCTGTGAGCAGTAACCCTTCGTGACTGAGCCCTGGTGTGGGCTCAGGAGCCTCCCCTGCAGCAGGGAGCTGGATGTCACCCCAGCCATGTGTGACTGTTGTGTGTTGGCTTAGATAACTGGACTCTGCTGTTGTGAAATCAGGGCAGGCTTCATGTTGGAGTGTTTGTGTTCCAAAAAGCCAGTCCTTTTCTGCCTGTAGCCAGCCCCTGTTCAGTTCATGCAGATGCAGTTGCTCTTCTTTTTGCTGCACTGCTTGGACAGCTTGTTTCTTACGGCACAGTATGTAAGTGTAATGCGCATTCCTGTGCTTTCACTCATCTTGTGCTGTGCCCCTTTTCCTTACTCGTCATAGTCTGTCCACGCAGCGCTTGTATCTTATGCTACATCAAGATGATACATACCAAACCTAGGGTCACTGAGGCTGTTCACAGTTCGCGGAGCGTGATGTGTTTGCATATGTACATGAGTGACGAGGCAGACTGCCTAGGAGCAAAATTGAACTGCGGTAGTCAGCATGTGACTTTGGAGTAACACTGTTAAGCTCCAATTGTTTTTACTAAAATAATCTGAAGTACTTTGTTGTACAGTGTGTGACAAATAATAAGCACTACATTAATCTTACGTCTTAGTTACTTTTCTCTTGTTGCTGAGACAAAATACCCAACATGCAAAACTAAGTAAGGAAAGGTTTATTTAGCTCACTGTTTATAGGGGTTTCAGTCTGTAATCAGCTGGCTCTAAGACAGGATGGCATGGCACAGGGGTAACACTTCAGGGAGGCAAGGCGGCAGAACACAGCAAAAGCAACAAGAGCCAAAACAGGGAGAGCAAGCCTCTTTTCCTCCCTTATAGTGTAACCAGACTACCACCCCATAGGATGGCTGTAGCACTTACACCATCTCTGTGTCCTCCTCTTGTACAGGATGAAGATGTTTACAAAGTGAGGATCTTGGCTCCCACTGAGGCGCTTAAAGTTCTAAACTTCTCAAGTTAACACAAAAATGTGTCAACCATTATAGTCCACCCCTTGTCAATTTGGCAACCAGACACATTTCTTTAAACCAGTTTCCAGATACAGAAACATATTTATTCTTACCATTTTGCAACTTGAACATTGTAACACAGGGCTAAGAATCCTTAAGAACCAGTATTAAATCTATCAACATTATATTACATTAGAACTATAACATTCCACC